CGAAGAGTGCTGCAATAGCATTTACGGGGCTTTCAACGGAAACCAGTGGCGGAAAATAAAACTTGGATCGTTTGCTAGCATATGGAAGAAAGATAGATCGACAGATCTTGAATACGGAAAGAAATCTTCGCATAAAGAGGGAGCACATGGAGGTAAGCTTACAGTTCGCAAAACTGACAGTGAATGTCCCCAACGCTAAGTTTATTTATATCGCCGGTGGTGATTTTTGCTTTTACTACTGGTGAAGTCATCGAAGATAAATTTTTTCTTAGACCTTTCTTCGACTGGAACGCGACGACTACGAAACTGTTACGAAACTTTCAAAAAGATTTGCCTTAAGGCAACAGATCACAGAGAGCCCTCTAGATTTGTAAACACTATTATTGCTCACACCTTGCTCTTGTAGGGTACTATTTTTTCTGTTACCACTATTAACATTCCTTTGAGCTTTTATGAAAAGCTTTAATGTAAATTTTTATTATAAAATATTAAAATCTATCAGGATCATGGTGCAATCTGAATGGTATGATATTTTAATATACAGTAAATTCCTTAGTATTTCCAACATTCTGGTCGCCATAACCCTCACTAAACAAAAGGTATGCTTTTTTCAATCTTAGAGCGCTTTCCATTTGTTAGAACTGGCCGGTCTGGAAGAACTGGTTCTTACTAGCAAAAGACCAGTTCTCGCGTGTACGCGCGTGGGAATTGCGCGTTGCGTCACGCACACAAAGGTAAACAAACATGGCGGTGTCGCATAATAATGTGCTCAGTTTTTGGCAGTTGTTGTGGTGCGCTGAAACCGATGTAGATACCCAAAATAATTCAGAGGCTGATATTTTTCTTTTTGCTGCCACTGGTATTTTCATGAGACGGGACATTTCTCGCATTAATGATTATTTTGAAGTAACAGTTCCGAGGTATCAACCTGACGTTTTTCGTTCGCATTTTCGCATGACGAGAAGGACTTTTCAGTTACTTGTACACATGATTGGGCCCAGTGAGCATATCCCGAAGGGCAATTCATTCGGTCGACCAGCTGTGGATCCCAGAAAACAAATAGCGATGTCTTTGTGGATGATGGCAAACCAAGAAACGCACAGACAAATTGCAGACAGATTTGATGTGTCGTTGTCCAGTGTGTCAAGGTGTTTTCGCCGGGTTTGCAAGGCCCTTGTTGACCTTTTACCAGATCTTGTTAAATGGCCTAATGGTAGGTATTATTTAATCGTTCAATTTACTTTAACCGTAGACTGTTTTACTTGTGTATGTGTTAAGTTTGCCTCATGCATTTAACTTTTAATTTGTAGCTTTCAGGAGTGTCGAGATCCAAGATGGCTTTGAGAGGATCAGTGGCTTTCCAAGAGTAATCGGCGCAGTGGATGGTTGCCATATTCGAGTCAGAACTCCATCAAAGCACCCAGAAGCATATCTCAATCGACTGAGATACCATTCTATAATTTTACAGGTACAAACACATTGGCTTCAGCCATCGATCGATCCGTAGAGAGTTTAAAAGGCCCTCGCAATTAATTATTAGCAGTATTTTATTGATCGGCAACATGCTGCAACTCGCAACACATAAAAAGGAATTACGGTCATTTCGTTCCTCTGATTTTATAAAACGATTGTAGTGTTGAGCAAGTTGTTCTTGTTAAGGCCAAAAATTTGCTTTAGGTTTAAAAAGTGAACTTTCTACATGTTACAAAGGCTAAATAATAATTAATTTGTTATCAAAGTCGAACATTCCAAACATTTTAGACACAAAAAAACTCTGGTTACTGTATTACACCGTAATAGTTAAGTCATATCACCCATTAAGTCTTTACAAACTCGGTCTTGCTTTTTTGCTGCAAAGATTTGCCAGTCATTTTTCAATCACTTAATTGCTTGTAATCAATTCAGTGAGGGAGGAAGTTGGTATTCCCAGTTTTAAGTTTGTCTCATGTAAAAAATGTGATTAAATTAGACTGGTTCCTCAGATACCCATAAGTTAAACAAAAATTCTTCTTCATTTGAGAGTATATAATTTTTTCAGTTTTGTTATGTCCTTTCATTTCAATAAAAAAATGCCTCCAATTTACATGTATTTTTTGTTAGGCAACTTGCGATCACCAGCTGGCCTTTACTGACACATATATTGGTTGGCCAGGCTCAGTACATGACGCAAGGGTATTCAGAAATTCTCCACTCTGTTTAAAAGCAGACAGACTGTTCAATGGTGATTCACACCTTCTTGGCGATTCTGCCTACCCCCTGAAGAGGTAAAAGCTGACTCCCACATCATTTTTGCGGTACGGCTATGGGTTCATCATTGCATGTCTCCTTGCTAAGTGATTTGTTAGTACAAGATCACAGTGATCACAGTCAGTGTTTATTAATACACAGTGCTGCTTTGTATTTTCTTTCAGATGGCTTCTAACCCCTTTCAAGGACAATGGGCACTTGACTGTCAGTCAATCATCATACAACACAAAGCTTTCAGAAACACGTCAGGTGGTTGAGAGGTCCTTAGGGTTGCTGAAGGGAAGATGGAGGAGGATAACATGCCTTGAAATGGAAGACACAGAGGAGGTACCCTGTGTGATTGCTGCTGCCTGTTCGCTCCACAATTTCTGTCTTTTTGCGGATGATGGTGACATCGAACAGTTTTTTGCTGAAGATGAAGATGACGATGATGATGATGATGATAATGATGATGATTCAGACAGTGAACTCTCTCAGCCACAAGCTACTGCAAAGAGAAATTTAATGGTCCAGTATCTGCAACACTTATAAACACCCATACTTTGCCCTTTTTGCTGGACAAAGGACATTAATTTTTATATGAAATGTTACAAGATATACAGTGAATACAAGGGCCCAGTTGTTCAAGGGCCAATTAATGCAAACCCAAGGTTAAATTTTAACCCAGGTTTCTTTTTCTTTTGTTCAAAAGCATTTTAGTATTATAAAGCAAATAAAGGGAGATGTAAAGAGTCAACGATAAGAGGACACAGAAAAAATCCGAGCCCCAGATGGGATTCGAACCCATGACCCTCTGTGTTCTGGAACGGATGCTCTAACCTCTGAACTACTAAGGAATCGTTGACTAGCAAGGGTCATTTTTGTGGGTTGGACTTGCAAACCGCATCACTGGTCACACAGTCCATCACAAGCAACACATTAGGGCTCCTTCATAGGCAAGACATTTCTTGCTATTAATGTCACTGCATGATGCAGTTAAGCCTTAATGTGTTGCTTGCGATGAACTGCGTGACTGTGTGATGTTTTGCAAGTCCAACCCACAAAAGTGACCCTTGCACGCCAACGAGTCCTCAGTATCGGAGTTTAGAGCATCCAATCTAGAACACAAGGGGCGTGGGTTCAAATTCCATCTGGGGCTGAGACTTTTTCTTTGTCCTCTTATGGTTGATTCTTTACATCTCCTTGTATTTCCTTTCAAAAGCATTTTCCTGGATAACTTTCTGTCTTCTTTTTAGAGCATCCAATCTTTAAACTGTAGGCAAAAGGAATTAAACTTAATTGCTTCTCATTAGAAGCTTTAATTTATATCTGAAATCAAATTTCACACTAACCTTGGGTTAACTTAACCTGCCTTGAACAACCCGGGCCTGGGGCCCGTTTCTCAAAAGTCCCGATAATTAACAGGCCCGTAAAGCTGTTGTTGTTTACATGTAAGATAGAGGTTTCAATAGTTTTGCATCTAACATGATAAAACTATCAGTTAATGAAACAAAATGGAGTAGTTTTCTAGCCAGGACCTGCACTCTTATTATTTTTATTTCAATTTGAATATTTGATTTCAGGCCTTAAAAGTTACTGGGACTTTTGAGAAACAGGCCCCTGATCATTATGAACACCAAGAAGCAGGCTTTCAGAATTTTAGTTTATTTTTGTTAAAGCACAATGAGCATTTGGTAATGGTTTTGTAAGGATAGAGATAAACAGGGTTTTGTGATGGTGGCCATTTTTGCTGTTTGATGCATTTCTGGACATAAGTGGGCAAGCAGAGCTAAAAAATCCACTTCATTTAGAGTATATCAGCTGCAGTATGTGCCTAAAAAGGACTTGAAAAGTGTTGTTGCTGCACAGTTGACAAGAGCATTGATAAATGTTCCTCAGTTGGCAATATTGATAGTGTTTTGATGATAAAGACAATATTAATTATAACTAGATATTTCATTAATATTATAATTTATTTCTGGTTTATAGTTTCTGCAATGCCCCCACCCAATCCAAAAGAAAATATAATATATTTTTCCAGTGATTGGAGAATGTCTGCAGTTATTGTAAAGGATGTATTGATTGTCTTGCATCAAAACAGAAGACGGATAAATCTTTTTCAGTGGCTATAATTATGTTGCCAACATTTTTTATTTTTATAAATAAACTGAATGAGATAAAGACATTAATTTTTTTAACACAGCCAGGGAAAGAAATGTGTATCGTTAACAGACAGTGGCAGGCTCAAAGTAGATCACACAGCCAATAACACACTTAAATACCTCAGTGAACAAAAGTTAAGTTCAAGCTAAGTAAGAAACAAAGAAAACTGTTATTATTGTGTCAGTTTTTTTATTCAAGCAGTTGCTTACAAGTACTCACCATAAGGCCCTAAACTTGCCTCAAAGTCCAAGTCCCATCGTACACTTTTTTTACTTCCTTAAGTTGGGATTAAAAATAAAACATCCAGAAGAATAATAATTATTAATTATGTAATACTGCAAATACTAGTGCTGCTACACTATAACAAAAAAACAGCACTCGCACGGTTCATCAATTTACTCCGAATTCTAGAACAAAGGGGAGCAGCCTATGATCACAATACTTAGCTGCAGTGCTCAATAATAATTCACGTTGCGCTGGTAAAGTTCTACAGAAATGCTGAAAAATGAAGGTACTTCACTCTTGACAGCAGAGTTGTTTGTTTTTTCCAAAGCCGAAGCAATCTCCCCACTTAAGCTTAAGAAAGTGTACGTAAATACAGGAATAAGTTCTCAACCTTCCTTTTTTGACAAAATGTCTAGGAATCGATTCATTATAGACATTTTCTCTTCGTGCATTTTTTGAGATAGTGACATTTTTTCCAGCTCCTCTTTCCGTTTATCATCTTTAAATTCCTTCAGAAACTCGATCATCTCCGAAGCGGATGATTTTGACGACCTTCGCTTTTTCTTTTTTGGTGGCGTCTTGCGAGGAAGTTCCTCGTCCTCATCGTCGGAATGATCTGCTGTCCCTGCTTCCATGGCCATAGAGGAAACGGTGGCTGCTGGTACAATCTTTGGGTTAGATCCGAAAAACTCTGTCATTTCATCCTGAAATTCACATTCCTTCCTATCATTTCCCGTACGACTGTTGTGCTCCGAGACTTTCTTGTATTTCTCTTCTAGCTTCTTCCACTTATTCGAGCATTGCTCGCCAGTAACTTTCACGGTGGAAGTCGAATTGAACTGATCTGCTATTCGCTTCTAGGCGACGTTTTTTCTTACTTTTCCTTTAGAAAACAAGCCGTCATTTTCCCTTCGCAAGGAAATAAGAAGTTTCGTGCTCTTCGACGACCACGTTATCAATTTTGTTTCTTCTTCTTCAAGTCCTGTAATTGTAAACATGCTTGCCTTTTAAAAACTTTACAATGATCTTTGAGGGAAGCTCGCTGTTAACCAGGAAAAACGTAGGTAAAACAATTCCCAAATAAATACTCACCAAACTTGTCATTGTCTGATTCTGCCATCTTTGAATCTTTCTTTGAACGCCAAAACTAACGCCGCGCTTTCCACCTGCTGCAAGAAAATTCCCGCGCATTTGCCGCTGCACCCGCGCAGGAGCGTGAGAACTGATTGGCCCTACTCCTTGAGCAGGGCCAGTTTGGCCAGAACCAGTTCTGACAGTTCTCAGAACTGACGCGTACCATTTACGAACGAACAGATCCGACCGGCCAGTTCTGACAAATGGAAAGCGCCCTTAGTCTTCCCAAAACTCAGAGCCTGATTTAAACTGCGCAGACACATTGTCAGTTCTACAAGCTAAAGCAAGAGAGCCCACACAAGTTTATTGCAAAAACTGTTTTTGCAATTTTGTAAAATACAGCAAGAATTCTTACCATTTACTGATGTGGTCTTTAAAATAAAATTGTGATCCTATCCTGAATGTTGTGTATTGTTATTCTTTAGAGTGAATAACGAAAAGTTTTGCAATCTCGCATTGAATACTTATAATAATTATAATTATAGTATATCATAATTTGCGATGTAAACTCCAACACAGGGGCACTCATGCACTGAATCACTGAAGTGATGTGACTGACAGATTGCAAATTAAAAATGAATAATCACCAAGGCTTGGTCACTGAAATATTTGCTGCAACTGAGGGTTCTGTAGATGTATGAGATAGTTTCATGGCCCCTGCTCATCACTGCTGCTTTATGTTTCACTACTCAAGGTTGTGCTCTACCAGCACCCAGTTGGCCCATGGTGCTTAACTATTGTTCCGGGGCAACTAGGAAATTTTTTCATAGAAATCATGTGCTGGGCACCCAGGATTTCACGGGTCTGGAGCACTGGGCTCCTTTCAATTTTTCTTAGAGCACAGCCTTGCTACTTCAAAAAACCTTGGTGTATCTTTTAATATGGGATACACTAATGTTATTCCTATAAATGAGGAAGCTTCATGGCCCCTTACCACATACAAAGATACTGTCCACCCTACTGTAACAATAATCTGCACACTTGTTGATCACAAGATAAATGTGAGGCCCCAGCTAAGAACCTGGAGGACAAGTTTAGGTCTTACGTACCGTGTGCAATATACAAATCCATTATTTTTTAGTCGTATCAGTTATTACAATAAACAAGCCAAGGGCTGTAATACTGTTTAAAGGCTGCAATTTTATTGTTCTTTGTTGCCTGATTTAGCATAGTCTATTTTGGGGGTATTATATAGCCTGAGCCAAGCTAGGGCAGGGCCCACGCAGGGCAAAGGGGCTTCCCCACTTTTTGAAAAATAAATAGATAAAATTAAGTACAGTGGAACCTTGATATAACGAAGGGCCAAGCTAGGGACTGGCAAAATATGTTTATTATAACGAGGTTTGTTAACTTTTATCGAGGTTCTTTTTCATATTGCCTTATATTTTACTATTACTGGAGTAAAAAAAAAATAGTTTGTTAGACCGAGGACTTCGTTATAGAGGTTCCATTGTAATATACATTTTCATATGAATAGTATCTTTGTTGGAATAAGAATCTTCCAGCATCTAAATTTATTATTGGTCTGTTCTGCTCCCATCAGCAAGCCTCAAAAAGTCAATTGTCCTAGATTTCTGCATTTTCAATCCAGCAGAGCCATGTAGCATTTGCAACAATGCAGAATAGTCTTTTTTGATAAAGGTTCTTGATTAAATCTGAAGACTACTCCATGAACTACGGTTTCTTAAAACGAATTAAATCAGCTGATGATGTGGTCTCTGGCACATTTCAATGACATACTAGACAAAATGAAGGCACTACAGGAACCTACCGTGTAATATCATGATCTTCAAACCTCTAGTGGTGGATTCAGCATGTGCACGTTAAAAACTGCTTCCCAGGCCCTCTTAGGGGTTTTAACTCTTAAAAATGCTAGTTTCTAATAATATTTTACAATGGAAAAAACCAGCAAGAAAAACCCACAGAGCACAATCAAGGATGGGCCTCCATGATGAACATAATTTCCACTGTGTAACACTTCTTCCTAGAGGCAGTGAATTTATGGCACACTGTGTTATCAGCAGAATCATGCAACCTAGTGATGTACTGAACCATTTAGTTTTTCAATACATAAAGTTAGTTGCAAATAATAATTTATTAATGCACTGATAACCCAGTACTCTATGATCTACAGACACCCACTTAATTGGACACCCATATAACAGGCAGTTTTGCTTGTCCTGAGGAAAAGCATACATTTTTTCTTTAAAATTAACCGGCTTAGTACGCACAGTAGTTAGCACAGTAGTTAATGTGGACAACAACCACTTTTCTGTGTTTCAAGTCAGAAATTCCTATATATTCTTAATCCAGCTTTACAGACACTGGTTACCCAGGCACTTTCTATTTTTCTTGTCACAATGATATGCCAATTGTAGACATTGTGCCAAGTTCACGGGTTAATAAGATTTTATTACCAAAACATCTGCAGCCAAATAGCATGACACATTTGATTTTGATACATCTTTCTTTCTTCCCCTGTTTGTAGTCCTTTGATAAATTTTCTGCCTCCTACTCAACAAGTTTCACGTCCTTGGCTGTTTGCTACAGTCATTGTTCCTACCCTTCTTCCTCCTTGTTCCTTTATGCTATATATCAAGTAAATCACGTGTCTGTGACTTTTTTCCAGAGAGCTAACTTAATATGGACACCCAGATAATACTGACACCCAGATAATATAGACATCATAACATGTCTGTGTTAACCTTTCCAGTATATATTTTCTTGTCTAGCCAAAGCTTCAAAGCTGGTCCCAGTAAAGAGAGCATCCAAAAAATGCACACCTGGGTTTGAATAATAAATAAATTAAAAAAAACGTCACATACAACAATTTCATAAAGTTATCTATAAAAGTTATGGGAATACAAGGGGATATCATTGACAATAGTTGGATGAGGTGAAATCTCTGCATTTTTATTAGCGTTGCAATTTATAAGTTGCAATAATGATCTGCAGACACAGCCTTTTCAAAAAAACATGAGCTACAAAGAATGTGACAGTCTTTAATGTCAGCACTGAAAATTATTAAATTGATATACCAAATCAAGAGCGAGCGATCCCCTTATTTATCTATTTATATTGAAAATGAGTAAATTAACTTTTCTGACAAAGAGAACTTAACATTAGATCTAATTTTAAAACCCTCAGCTCAGATACGTAACACTAAAGTAACAATTAAATTTTGAATAATATAAAAGGACAGCAGTCCGTTTAAGATGGTAAAAAAAAAAAACACATGCATATGACAACGAGCTGGCTGCTTTAGAACTGAAACTTAGCTGAACTGAAAACAGTACCCACTCTGATTCGCTGTGCCTGAAGAGCTATAAAGCAAAACGTTATCTACACTTGGATAAATGAGCACTCGAGAGTGGCTAGAAGGCAGGTGAAACTGGTGCGGACTCTCGATCGTCTTGCCTGTGTATTATTATTACAGCTAGTACGTATACAAATACACCTACCAGTAGTCCGAATCTCCGTCGGCACAAACTGCATAAAATACGACTTGGTGAAGTGTGTTTTTTTCCTTCTCTGAGGCTAGCTGCCCTTAGTATTTGACTTTCTCATATTCAGTCGGTGCTGGTTCTACAGAGTCATCGTAATCTACGATTTCCTCCTTCACAATTCCAGAATCGGGCGAAGACGAGCGAAACTTTGAGAGTCGCTCGCAGTTTTCTCACGGTTCAGGTTTGTTTTCTTGGCGTGTTCAGAAAATGACGTCACAATCAGAGAACAATGGCTTTGTTAGTGGAACATAAATTTGTAATGGCGGACGCGAAAAACCTACATTTTCAAGCTCAATATTTTCACTTAAAGGGCGCTAAAGTTCATTTCAATGACCGAAACAGGTACAGCCACTTCTGATAAGCTGAAAAGAAAGCGTTTTTGTGACAAACTTGACATTAAATTTTGATCGTAGTAGCACTTTAAAAAGTTATGCTAAAAGTTTCTTTTGATGGTCAAAGCTTTGGATTTAGCTCACATACTTTCTTATGTAAGTTAGATTTACACCACACCCACTTTGACGAGTCCTTGGAAAGAAGGATCCATCAGGTAGTTTTTCCCAAATCCCTGCCAATATACCCAAGATTCTTCATAGTTTTTCATAAATCAGCTCATCACAATAACAGAAACAGTGGGACATGTTTTTATAAGACACTGGCACTTCCAATCTAAGAGACTTCCTCACCCAATTGTTCAAATATCCTTGACCATCACCACTGAGGACTATACACTGAACCGGACGATCCTGATCGACCAACTTATGACAATTTGAACATAACCGACAGATAGTTCCATGGAGAAATTAGAACATCAACAATATCATGAACTACAGGCAAGTGTATAGCCGTATCGCAGCCAGCCACAAGGACATTCCAGACAACCTCACTGACAATATTTTTTCTTCTGTCGAGCCTCTGGATCGGATAAAATCTGTCATCAACAATATCATAAACTACAGACAAGTGTATAACTTATCACAGCCAGCCACAAGAACAATTCAGACAACCTAACCGACAATATCTTTTTTCTGTCGACTTCTGGATAAAATCCGTTATCAGAGACGTTTGAATGTTCCTTCACCTCGACGGTCACCATAAAAGTAATAAGCAAGTTAGAGCTTTGAACGTTCATAGAAACCCTCAGTGAAAATAGCGATAGCTTTGGCTTTAAGGAGCCTTCATGCAGCTGATGCAAAATCGCTCTTGGATGGCCATATATAATTAATTGAAATGCTTTTGCCACAGATTGTTATAAACACAAACTGATTTATATATGGTGAGCCACATTTGTGTACAGACTGAAAACGAATCAGCCAGAATGTGAACAACACTACATATAAATCACTGACAAACAATTTGGA